TGACTACCTTCCCTCTCTTTGTTACCATCCGACTACACTTCTCCAGTCCGAACGACATTCCAATGTCATTGCTGTATAGCCTGGTAGTGTGTAGCCAGACCTGAATGAGAGTGGGGGAGGTTCAATTTGCCATGTTGCAACGAGCTTAGCTTCTGTCTTGCTAGCTTGTGTTGCGCTCGGTGGATCTGAGCTCCACAGTGCAGTCTAGGCGGAGTAGTCGAACGCAGATCCACTGAGCTCTCAACACAGACAGCATCGTCAGAAGAAAAGTTGATAAAATAAATTTTAAAAATTGTATTGTTCGATACATATGCATACCAAACCGAAAGCACTGTATCAAACGGTTCAATATCGATACGAGTATCGTTGCACCCCTAATATTTATATATATACTTTCTGGCAACTACAAGGATCATAGGAAGGTGTGTGAAGAAGAAGAGGAAAAAAATAGAGAATGAAACAAAACGAGACATGCTTTCATGTAACTGAAAGACGACATTGACAGAATCATATTAATGCTGCGCTGACTGTATAATGAAGCACCGCTGTCAGGGAAAATTACCTTTGGAAAAAGATCCTACCAGTCACAAAAAGACACATCAACACCCATAGAAAATGTGGAATGTAATTACTCTCTCAATATGTGTTGCTGACAGATGGTTAAAATGCCACAAATGTACAAAATTAGAATAATAAAATCTGTTTGAAGCTATGTGCCAACAGAACATTTAGATGGATGGATGGATGGATATATTTATTGATTTCACAAAGGGAATTATTAAATATCTAAATTTCAGTCACAAGGTGATGAAGTTTATTTATCCAGAAGAGCATCTGCTTACCCTTCTATGCCTGCAAGCTTTTAAACTGCTGATTTTTCTTTTGCCATTTGCACTCATGTGGACTTGATTTGTTTCGTACAATACAAAGTCATAACCCTGCTAAATTTTAAATGAGCTGCATTTTTTTTGTCTTGCATGAGAGAAGTATCACTGCAGGCTAAATAATAATGTATGGACACTTAATAAGCTTCTTTCCATTACATGATGTTATTTGCACTCGCTGGGTGGTTTACTACCAGAACTGATTTTGTAGCAGTCGTTGGCATTAGAATGCATCATCCCAGCTGAGTTCACATTAATGAGAAAATCGTGCATGCTGCATATTTAAGTAAGCTAGA